GTAAGTGGGGTAGCCACCCATGGTGGAGCGTACATGAGAAGCTGGACGTTGGTGTACGATCCATCCCGGCGTGTGAGTAGGATCTTAGGCTATGCAAGTCGTCCCTGAACTTATTGTGGTGAAAATGACCTCCCAGGAGGAAAGTAGCCTGTACCGCGGGACTTCGGAGATGATAAATTGGGTGGTCGGGGGACGTCTGGGTGTTTACTAAGCAGAACGCCCGGCACAAGACTGGGGTACTTGTGCCAGGAGGTGTGAACTTGGATCTAGACTACGAGCCCATGTTGGAGGCGCTATTTAGCTATTTAGCGTCGGTGAGCCGGCAATAGAACTGAAAGGAACCACAACCCCCACCGGACACTCGGATTGGGAAGGCCGAGTATTCCGTATACCTTCCTGAAAAAACACGAAAAACAACTGGCCGCGGTCCAGTTGCTGTAGAGATCATGAGGATGGTGAAGAAGCCGGGAGGATGGAAGCAGAAACTGTGGCAGGGAGACAGGTTGGAGCTGCTGCTGTTTGGAACTCCAAGGGACATGACGAGGATAGAGTTCAAGAACTGTTGTGACACGGAGGGACTGCACTGCCTAGCAAGGGGAGAAGTAGGCAGAGAGTATGAACATTTCCGGGTGAAATTGACCAAGGGAGACAGCCAAGAGTGCTTGGGGGTTGACATCGAGAAGCTGTCGAACTACGTAAGGAAGTTTGGATGGAGGGTTTGCGTCGCGAACATGATAAAAACAGAGAAGGTAAGGCGACAGGAGGCGAGGGCGATAGAGGCGAAGAAGGGACCGGGCGGGGGAGGCGAGCAGGCAAATCAGAAGAACGCCGAGAAGAAGCGGAAGGCGAAGGATAGAGTGCGCAAAACCTCCAATAGGGAAAAGCACAAGCTGAGAGTGGGGTCGTGGAACGTGTGCGGGTTCGCAAGGAGTGAGCGCAAGCGGTTGGAAATAGTGGACCAAGTAGAACAAAGCGATCTGGATGTAGTGGGGATCCAAGAGACGTGAGAACTGAAGGATGGGGACGTGGTAAGCAAACTAGGGAAGTACCGGTGGGTAGGGAAGGCAAGAAAGGGCTTAGACCCGAAGAAAAGGGGGGAGGGGGGAGTCGGATTCCTGGTCAAGGAACACTTGTTTGACGTGGTGGAAGTAGTGGTGAAAACGGAGTTCGAGGAAAGCCTATGGCTTAAGATACCTGGGGAGCGGGGTGAGAAAGATTTGTTTCTAGGGAACGTATACGTCCCACCGTCGTCGAAGAAAGTCGCAAGCAAGGCGCAGGAGAACTTCGGACAAGTTGGGGAAGATGTCCAGAGGTTCAGTAGGAAGGGAGAAGTTGTCATGGTGGGCGATTTCAACTCCAGAGTAGGGAAAGCTTGCAGTAGAGGACAGGCGATCGGGCAGCACGGAGAAGACAAAGTGAATGACAACGGAGTGAGGATGCTTGAATTCTTGGGAAGCAACGAGCTGATGGTGTTGAACGGTAGGAGGGAAAGCGATAAGCCGGAGTTCACCAGGCAGAGGGCAGTTTGCAATGAATACTCGATCCTCGACTACATCCTGGTAGATAGGGGGAGCACACAGGTCCCGGAGCTGCACGTAAGTGCGATAGATATAGGTTCGACCGACCATTTCCTCATATGGGCAAACATCGGCCGATCTAGAAAGACGGAGAGTAAGAAAAAGAGGAAAGTGTTCCGGTGGAAAGTAGAGCGGTTGGGAGACGAGGGGACACGCGACGAATTCCAGAAGGGATTGGCTGGTAGTGTAGAACCCTTCAGGAAACTGCTGAGAAGCGTCGAAGACGGAAAGGTAGACGCACAAGCAGCAGGGGACAGGGTGATTGAAGGATGGGAGTCCATAGTGAACACAACGGCAGAGAGAGTAGTGGGAAAGAAGGTGGTACGATGTGGGGTATCGGTTAAGTGGTGGGATGACGAGCTGAAAGAAGAAATAGGGGAACGTAGAGAAGTCTTCAAGCAGTACCTGGGTGAGGGGTCTGAAGAGAGTTGGGAAAAGTACAGGGCCAAGAGGAAACAGGTGAAGGGACTAATAGTGAAAAAGAAGAAAAAGTGCATTTGGGACGAAGTAGTGCAGAAGGCCAACGGAGGCCTGGCGGGGAACGCCAAGCAGATGTGGGAAGGGATTAGTGGGATGGTAAAAAAGACCGCGCAAGGGGGGGATACAGGGGTAGCAACATTGCGAGGTGTGAACGGTGGACTAGTCAGCAGTGGGAAGGGAAAAAGGGAAGTTCTAGCAGGACACTACAAGAGACTTGGAGTGCCTTCGGAGAATGAAGATTTTGACCAAGTGTTTAAGAAGGAGGTGGACGCATGGGCCCAGAAAGAAGAAGAGACATCGAAGGCAGACGTTGGGAACGTAAAACTAGAAAAGGAGTTCACTGAGGACGAGGTTGAGGCGTGTGTGAACAAGCTGCAGTGCCACAAAGCAGCAGGGGCGGATGGGATAGTCAACGAGTTCATGAAGTTTGGGGGGAAAGGGATGATCCAGCTGATGGTACTGCTGTACAACTGGGTGTGGAAAAACGAGTATGCGCCAAGTAGATGGAGGGAAGGAGTGGTTGTGAACTTGTTTAAGAAAGGAGACAAGACTGACCCAGGAAACTACAGGGGTATCACACTGTTGAACACAGTAGGAAAAGTGTTTTGTAAGCTGCTGAACGATAGGATAGTGGGAGCATTGGAGAAGAAACGTAGCATTAGTGAGGGCCAGGCAGGTTTCCGACAGAAGAGGGGGTGCGTAGACCACGCATCCACGGTAGGGAGAATCATCCAAGGTAGAAAGAGGGCGGGAAAGCGGACGTATTGCTTCTTCCTGGACGTGAAAAAGGCATACGATACCGTATGGAGAAATGGGCTGTGGAAACAATTGTCCAAGTACGGGATCAAGGGGAAAATGTGGAGAGTGCTGAAGAAGATGACAGAGTGTACGAAAAGCGCGGTCATGCTAGACGGAGAACTTTCTAAATTCTTCGACATTGAGCAAGGGGTCCCACAAGGTTGCACGCTGTCCCCAACATTGTTCCAGGTGTTCATCAACGATCTGTTGGAAGTCGTAGAGGCAGTCCGGAAGGGAGTAAAAGTAGGGGACACGGAAACTTCGGTGTCAGTAATGCTGTTTGCGGATGACTTTGTTGGTATGTCGGACACCCCTGAGGGACTGCAACTGCAAATTGACGCGGCGAAGAAGTTTACTGATAAGTGGAGATTGTCTGCCAACGTTGCGAAGAGTGCCGTCATGGTATGCAACGAGGGCAGGGAGGAACCAGTAGAACATAGATGGAAGTGGGGGATCGAGGAGATTGCAGTAGTGGACCAGTACACATACCTCGGAGTAGAGATCGCAAAAGATTGCTCGTGGAATGCACACATGTCGAAGGTAGCGGAAAAGGGCAAAGCACGAGCAGGGAAGCTGCACCCAATACTTGCAAACCGGCACCTTGATACACGCATCAAATTGACGGTTTTGAAGAACGTAATCGTACCGCCGCTAGAGTACGCCGGAGAAGTATGGGAAGGAAATAAGAAGGTAGTGAAAGAACTCGAGGCGGCGCAGATGAAAGCAGCGAAAATCATCCTAGGATGCTCCAAGCGCACAAGTAGTGCAGCAGTCAGGGCAGAATTGGGGATCCAATCCCTACGGTCGGGAAGAGACGTAAGGAAGCTGACATGGCAGTATCGCATGTGCGGGATGGGAGAGGAGAGATTGCCGAGAATAGTATGGG